ATATCCAAAGAAATGGTATCACCAACAATAATAATTGGAAATGACATCAACAAATAGCTTTTTAAACGATAATCTTCAATTCACTAGTAAAGAAAATGGCTAATTCAACAGTTCTAGTATTATTATTGTCACAAAACAACACACACATCAAATTATATATCAGAATTAGATTTTTTTAAACTCCATTTTTTATAATATCAAACAATTTTGTTTCAAATCTCTGGATACTTTTTTGTAAAGTTTTCATATTAACACCAACGATATTAGAACAAAACAACAAGACTCTTTCGTAATCTTCGTGATATTCACCCGCCAATTCTGATTTTTTAAGTTTTAATCTATCTCTTTAGATTGTATATACTTGATATGTTTTTTAATCTTGTCCTATTCTTTTATGATTATTATCACTATATTTGTTAATGATAAAATGATCTTCTTCGTCACTCAAATAAATATGATTAGTATTGTAATTATCAATATTGCGGTTGTCTTGTTTATATTTTTTATATGAAAATGTTGAATACCGTGAGAATAAATCTTGTATTCCAGGATTTTTTGACATTCCAATTCCATGATCTCTACTACTATTAATATCAGAATAATGATTCGAATTACCATCAGCCTTATCATCATCAGATTTAGTGTTGTAAACGGCCTTTTTCCCTTTTCTGTCTTCATTTAATGACTATGCTAATAACGATGATGGTGGTTTAACACAAAAAAATAATTCTTGTAAATGATCTTCAATATTGACTATTGTAGGTTCATCCGTATTAATATAAAAACTTTCCAAATTGACGTTACTATTTATTATCATTTCTTTAATTTCTGTAATATCGATAAGCAATAAATCATCTTTATTTGGAGTTTCTTCATCATTTTCTCCTTTGTAACTAACACTGCTGCTACTATTACTATTACTACCACTACTATTATTATTATCATTGTCATTCCAATCAAATACAACTTGATCATCGTTATTGTCAATTTTCATTTTATCAACACCATCATCAACATCATCCTTTGCTTCATTAATAAACGAGTCATTCAA